AGGGCTTTCAATACATAATGTAGCCACCAACGATTTTCTTTACAGTTTTATAAATAAAGGTTCATTAATATTTATTTAAAGGAAGTCAATTTATTTTCTTCTTCATAGTTCAATTATAAATGTATGTTATTAAAAAAGTTTATTAATATTTTTTTTCATGATACATTTTGACTTTTAAACCCACTCATTATTTTTTTTTTAAATCAGTGAATGCAAGTTAAACTTGACTTAAAATGTATGCAGCAGTCTCTAGCAGTTATCGCCCCTGCTCTAAGGGGCCGCGCTGTCGAGGGCCACGATTGAAGTTTTATTTTCAGCGGAGGCTTTGATCTCCCGGCTTAAGATAGACGGAGGGCCGGCGCGAGGGCCCTTCAACGTCCAGCCTTTCAAACCTGGGCCACTTTATCGTTGGGCCTGGGGTTTGATCCCACCGACAGGCAACGGGCCTGCGCGCCGTTTACCTGCTTTTTACTTCCGGTCGGTAGCCTTAGCTACTGGCATGTAGCCGTAGCTACTGGCTTGCTGTAGCCTTAGCTACTGGCTTGCTGTAGCCTTAGGTCAATTCAGTTGTTGCAAGCATTTTGTTGTAAACTTTGAATGAGTAGGATAACTTTTATGTTGGTTATATCTATATCTATATCTATATATATATATATATATATATATATATATATATATATATATATATATATATATATATATATACATATCTGAATAAAGGAATACATGGAAAAAATACAAAATGAATAAATGGATCAAAGGATATAAATGAAAAAATGAAAAAATGAAAAAATGAAAAAATGAATAAATGAATAAATGAATACATGAATACATGAATACATGAATAAATGAATAAATGAATAAATGAATAAATGAATAAATGAATAAATGAATAAATGAATAAATGAATAAATGAATAAATGAATAAATGAATAAATGAATAAATGAATAAATGAATAAATGAGTAAATGAGTAAATGAATAAATGAATAAATGAATAAATGAATAAATGAATAAATGAATAAATGAATAAATGAATAAATGAATAAATGAATAAATGAATAAATGAATAAATGAATAAATGAATAAATGAATAAATGAATAAATGAATAAATGAATAAATGAATAAATGAATAAATGAATAAATGAATAAATAATTGAATAAACAACTGGATAAATTTATAAATAGATCAAATGATAAATGAATAAATAAATGAAAATTTTACTGAATACGTTATTAAAAATGCAATGAAAAAAACAACAAATAAATAAATGTAAGAATAAATTATAACTAACAACGAATAATTAAATAAACGAATTAATAATCTTATGAATTAATGAATAAATGGATAAAAGAATAAATTAATACTGTAATAACAAATTAACTGTTAACTCTCGATTTTTATTTATTTAGTGTTTGATTAAAAATTAAAATGTTCATTGATTGTCAGACTGATAACATTAAATTATTTTTGAAAATAACGAAATCATAACAATTTTAAATTAAGTTTCAAATTAATTTTTATTGCAGCGCCTCGACTTGGAATGATTTTTTAAAAGAGATTTATCTGATAGCTGATTATCTGTGGAAGATAATCTCAAGATTACATTAACTGGGTCAGATAAAGATATACTGGGTCATGTAGCTCTTCATACCTGTGTGTTTCTCCACTGGTGGCAAGTTATTAACTGTTTCAAAGTTGTTTTTTTATTTGTTACTAAGTTTATACTTAAACCTTTGAAATATAGTGTTGTTTTTAAATAGAGTAGAGTAATAATAATTGATTAAAACTCACATATGCGTACATTAATACACACACATATAAACAGTCAAACACTTAAATTCAGAAACTCATCAAAAAAATATGTGATACTTCATAAAATTTAATTTATTACTCAAAAGTTGAATACATCACATACGCAATTTAATAAAGCATTCATACAATTTCTTTCAAATGTCGCACAATTTAATATAATATTAAATAACGAATCAAACATTCACACATGTAAATAGAATTTCACATTATTTAACAGTTTTCACAATCTTAACTTACGATTTACACACATTACCTCAGCATTAACAAAAATTAATTAACAATTAATTCAACATTCATTAAGTCTGACATTGACAGCTGTAATCACTGGCATAATGATGACAAGATGGAGACATCCCAGGAAAAGTGAAATAAATAATATGTCAACATCATGATCAAGATGACAGTTAACATCAGCTCCATCATGTTAGTTAACATCAATGTGATTGTGTTAGTTAACATCAGTTGATAGATTAACGCGAGTATGTTGTATGTCTTTATGAGTTTGAGTGTCGACGTAATGGGTCACAGATTACAGCGATACAAAATGGAGAATGTATGTTATGTTTGTTATGTGGGTGGGTGGTTACTTTAAAGTCGTGGCAAGGCTAATATTTAACGTAATGTAAGACCTAATGTAAGACTTAATGTAATACATAATGTAATACGTTATGTAAGACCAAGTGTAAGACTTAATGTAATACATAATGTAATACGTAATGTAAGACCAAGTGTAAGACCTAATGTATTACATAATGTAATACGTTATGTAAGACCAAGTGTAAGACCTAATGTATTACATAATGTAAGACTAGCTGTAAAACAAAATGTAATACATAATGTAAGACATATTGTAATACATAACGTAAGGCCTAATGTAAGATCTAATGTAAAACCTAATGTAAGTCTATTTGTAAGACCTAATGTAAGACCTATCGTAAGATCTAATGTAAGACCTAATGTAATATCTAATGTAGAACCTATTTCATAAAAAGTGGCTACAACGTTTTGGTAGCGCTGCGTTATGAAACGATTGTTTTTATCTGTGCACTTTTAGGTCACTACAAAGTATCAACCAGTGGTTGGCCTTGAGGAAAACCATATAGTCAAAGCCATGTAGCTAAAGCCATACATTTTTATTAGAAAAGTATGAATTATGAATGTGATGTAGCCAGTGGCGTAGCAAAGTCGGGTGTCACCCGGTGCGGCACTTAATGGTGTCACCCCCCAGAGGTGTAGCGACCCTTCGCGGGAACAAACTTTCAATTTTCTATTCGCACCCCCCCCCCCCCTCCTCAAACTTTCTATTTGCACACCCCCCCTCCCTCAAACTTTCGATTTGCACCCTCCCCCCCCCCCCCCAAACATTCGATTTGCACCTCTTTAAAGACTATTTAACACTCGAATTAATCACTTAATTAAGTAGAGTTATCATTTTTCTCTATATATTTTGCTATTTTTTGCTGTCACCCCCTAAATGGCGTCACGCGGTGCGGTCCGCACCCCCCGTCCCCCCCCCCCTCCTCTCGCTACGCCTCTGGATGTAGCTATATTTTGTATTTCTTAGATGAAAAAACAGATAAAAATTGTTAAATTTCCCTTACAGATAATAAGAGGTGTGAGGTGTGGAAATTTGTCATTTTAGAGGGATTTTGGATTAATATTTGTGGCTTGTGGTTTGTGGCTTGTGGTTTGTGGCTTGTGGTTTGTGGCGCTGTGCGTGGATGGGCTTCTACGGACAATAAGGGAAGAAGTGGATGAAGATGACGTAAGCCATGTAAAACAAACCTGAAAGCGTGGTGAGGGGGGGTTGTGGGGGTGAGGGGGTTCATTAGTTATCACGTTCAGGTAACTTAACCGATAATAAATTAAAAGATAATGAGGTAGATGAAATTGAAACAGAGGAAGAAAAAAATTAACTTTATAAAATAAGTTTTTAAAACGTGACGGCAATGAAAGAACAATACATTCATGACATTGTTGACTTGGGCTAAAGCAGTGTTTCTTTCAGGCATCTCTTCGGAGGGGGGAACGGGGGGGGGGGCACCGCCATCCCCCCTCCCCATCCGTCGAACGAAATGACATTTATACTTTTACCAATATTCGCTCCCCCCCCCCCAATCCGCCCCCGCCCCAAGTTTCAAGTGTCAACCCATTCCCCCCCCCCCCCCTACAGAAAAAAATATGGAGCGTCAAAATATAGTACTCTAAAATGTTTTCATTGCGAGATGCAAATACAAGGGAGGTAATATACAAATGGGATACAACCAGTGATATTTACAAAATGTATTCAAATATTTAGTTGAAAAGGCATGTGAAGGAACGAATTGCGTTCAAAGTCGCGTCTAAGTAGTTCATTTTAATTACGTCATACAAAACTTGCGGTATTTGAGAAGGTGGAGTAGAGTAGGTCTAGCTTCAGATAATGTCTTCACATTTATACAATGGATGAGATGCCGTTTTCTCGGATACAAGTTATTTTATTTATTGATCATTTCATGGCTGCAGATCGATGGTCGGATTTGATAACGTATAGCTTGTGATGTTTGGATGTTGATCTTTACCTGGCGATGTGTAGTTGATGTTTTGTAGCTAATTGTGTGTAGTTGATGATGTGGGTCTAATGATATGGAGCTAAAGATGTGAAACTTATGATTTGTAGTTTATGATGTGTAGTTTATGATGTGTAGTTTATGATGTGTAGTTTATGATGTGTAGTTTATGATGTGTAGTTTACGATGTGTAGTTTATGATGTGTAGCTGCTGATGCGTAGCTGATGATTTGTTAGAAAGCGGTGTCAATATTAAATAACATATACCATATTCTATAAATAGAAACGTAATCAAGTACTTTCAGAAAATTGTGCTGAAGACTTTGCCAAAAAATTTGGAATGACTTGTTAAAAAACACTGTTTCAGTACAGTATTCGTCATATTTATATTGACATGTTTTGTATACAACGTTGTGGTAGAGAAGTTTTTTATGAACAATGTATGGTAACAATGAACTTAGGATATCAAACAACAATCGTTCATTCGAATTTTTTTCTAAATAAAAAATATTCATTTTATATAAAAACGTTGTTACAAAAATTAAAACTTTTTCAGAACGCAAAGAGTGATACAAAATATCAAATGTTTGTTTTGTTTTGTATTTAGTCAGGTGATGTTTAAGGATTGAGACGAGAGGTAATTAAGAACGGCAAATATTTATCACAATGAGTTTCATTTTTCATAAACAGTAGTTGATAAAAATTGAGAAATGAACATACGCATTAGTAAGGTGATCATCGATGAATTATAATTACACAGTTCAAAGGTGTAATAATTTTGAGAATAATTGACGCTAATTTTAAAGTTTCACACGATAAAATGGTAGTGATGGTAATCAGTGTAGACCCTAACCACGTGATACGGGTCTAGGTCACGTGTCCGATTTTTTTACGTCAAGTTTTCTTTTGTCAAGTCCAGGTCGGATGCCGACTCGGCTTGGCTGAGAGGGGCGATAACTGGGGTATCATTTCCGGTTAGAGGGTCCGGAAACGGCGAGAATATTTCCAGGCGTTTCGTTGGCCGGTTGGTTTGGTTGGAATAATTTGGACCAATGGCAGACGTGGAGGCTGACCTTGACCTCTTGGTGTCCAACGAGGGCGGGGTTAAAACCGGAAGTTGCGACAGAGACGGGCTGTGCGTTTTGCTCGGGCAGAGGAGAAGAGGGTATTTTTCTGAGGCGGCGTCGGCGTCGATGAACTCAAGGTCGTCCGGGCTGCAAGGTGATCGACCTTTGACCTTGTGGGAAGAGGGCGAAGGTATCAGAGGTGTGTGAGTCTGTGGCGGGGGTGTGAGGCCTGCCAGGATGGGCAGGGAGGCGGAGCTTGTGCGGTCAGCTGGGGTCCCGGGGGAGGTGGGTTTGCTTGAAGCGCTGGAGGAGAACGAGACAGTTTTGTTGAGTTTTGTCGCGGAGTGCGACGAGCTGAGAGAAGATTTACTTCCGCTTCTTGACAGAGCTGACTTCCGTTTATGTTTAGGTATCGTTGACGGTGATGTGAGCTTGGCATCGATACCGCCGACTGTTTGTTTGTTGGGTAAAGGGTTGGAATCGCCCGTGATGTTTGTATCGAATTGAGGCGAGGGTGATGAAAATGAGAGGTCCATGTCTGAGAGTCGTAGAGCGCTGGCTTTCTCGCAGAGGCCTGATCTGGCATCGCAGGGTTCCAACTGGGTGAGGTGGTAGTACTGGTTCTGGAAGGTGTTGGTGTCTAGGGTGAGCGGGCTCAGGGCTTTCTCGCTGGCGGGGCTCAGGGAGAGGGAGGCGGAGGTGGAGGTGGCGGCCACGCAGGGTTCAACGGGTTTAGGGTTGGGTTGCTCGGGGAGTGAGCGAGCGGGTTTAGAGAAGAGGGATTTAGCCCGGCGTGACTGCAGGGGGGATAGGTTGGATGGTCTGCGGGTGGGGTTTTTGAGCGGGGAGGTCAGCGCGTCCATGTCGATGACGGTTGACCCCTGGGATATGGAGCTGGAGGTCAAGGCCGAGGGGGAAACTGAAGTCTGGCTAAGGGAGGTGAGTTTATCACACCGCGGGCCGGGCGAGTGTAAATGTCGTATACTGCCGGATTTATCTCCTCTTAGATCGTGCGACGTTTGAGCTGCCGGGATTCGATCGCTAGCGGGGTTCAAACCCAAACCACCGTTTCTGTTGAAGGAAGGGAAGTGGTTGAGTAGCGGGCTGGGGCTGTAGTTGATCCGAGGGCTTGCTAGAGGGCTAGGGGATCCAACCCCGTTGTTGATCCCTAGTTTAGACGAGTGGAATGGGCTCAGGAAATGGTCGCGGTTGTGTGAGAGGTACCCTGGCCAGTCCGGGGCGGGGGAGGACGTCGACTGCAGGCTGACCGTGTCCCGGGTGTCACCGTCCGTGGACTGACTGAAGTAGAAGCTGGGGGCCGGGTACAGGTTGGGGTTGGGGGAGGGGGAGGGGTTGTACGACGGCTGCAGGCTGTTGCTGGACAGGTAGATGTTGCTGGGCGAGGAGTTCTGGGACACCAGACGCAGCAGGCTGTTGACGTTCCGGGAAATGGTCGACAGGTCGTCGTGAAGGTCATCCAGCCGTCGCTCAAGGCCGATGACCGAATCACGTGTGCCCTCGAGCTCCATCTGTAGCGTGTGTACCATGACCTGTTCGACTGACCGGTCTGATGCCACTGTAAAATAATAGGGGGTGTGGGGGGGGGGGGGTATGGAAGAGTATAATGTTATATGTGCAAACATGCATTAAAGTAGCAAAAATCGTTGTTTAAACTTTGTTAAATAATATATATATATTCAATGTGAACAGTACTTCAAATTTTAATTCGATTGTTATTTGAAAATACATTTTGTAGTGCGCGAGTTCTTATAATTAACACGCCCAGTAAATATATTCATTTTAATCCTCGCATCTTTTGTAAAAAAAAAAAAACAACCGTCAAATAGTATTTTAGCTGTTTGTGTTGTCAAGGCAGGATTGACGTGTGAGAAAATGTTACCCGCTCATTTCTGAAGTCAACACTAAATACATTTTTTTACAGGAGTGTAAGATTTTGTATTTTGTGGTCTAAGAGGAACAACTCAATAATTTGTATGGAGGAAAAAAGAAAACCAAGAGTTATGTGTCTTAGTGTTTCAGTCATCAATCGTCATTATGTGTTATTGGTCAAACAATATTAGTTGTGTAAATTATGTAAGAGTAAAAGACAGCATAGGGTTATCGCTGTTGATTGAATGTAGGCACACTATTTGAATTCTTAGTCAAACAGCAATAGTCTAAAAATAAAAGTAACTGTATTGTTACTACATTTACTGCTGTCAGAACACTCGGAGTCAGCACGGTCAAAGCGAGATAACCGTGAAAAATAATAAACAAAAAAGTAATACTAGAGTTACTGCTGTTGATTGTCAGCACCGCTGTTGGCTGTTCGGTCAAAGCGAGATAACCGTGCAAAATAGTAAGCTAAATAGTACGGCTAGAGTTATTGTCGCTTAGTTTCGGAACTTTGGAGAATGCATGGTCAAAGGGAAATAACAATGAAAAATAGTTAAAAAATAGAAAATTCATGAGCTATTTCCCTTTCGGCTAATGAGTGGAATTAACCTTAAAATTAGTAATGTAAATAGTCTTGCTAGAGTTATTGCCGTTGAGTGACGGCATACTCTATGACTCATTGTCTTAAGGAAATAACCGTGAAAATATTAAAGTTAATAGTAAATCTAGAGTTACCGCTGTTGAGTGTCGGTAGAGTCCTGCATGGCTTTAGCTTGTCACGTGCCCGCCTGTGGATGAGCCGAGGCCCAGTCGAGGCCGTTCTCCTGAGTGCTAGAGCCGAGAGAATGGGGGGCGCCGCTGGCTTCACCCTCGTAGGGGCGTGGCTGGCCACCTGGGTGGGGGTGGTGGGCACAGAAGACACCAGAGGGTAGGCGGCAGGCCCGGCCGGGGCGTCGTCCCTATCAGGAGCAGGAGAAGTAGAGTTAACTATGTAAAGTATAATAAGTGGCTGATTATTAAATTTAATTATTTGGTTTTCTATTAATTTCTAGATGTATTAAACACATAACGCATATTATACACACTCAAACTTCGGCATGGGTTAGGTTAGTCACATTTTAGGTTAGGTTAACTTTTAGGGGTTTGAGCAAGTGCAAAATGTTTAGGTTAGAGTAAAGGTTAGGTAAACACAGAGACACAAATTTCATTGATTTGTACGGTTAAACTAGTGCCATTATCACCTTCATAGACTTATATCTATATTTAGCCGTTGACTCCAGTATGTATATACGGTTATTAAATGATTTGAATATTGTTACATGAAGGCTATTACATGAAATATGGAAAGGTGTGCCATTTAGGGTATTGTATAATATAAGGAAACATTTTCTTATTTAGGATTTCATTAAATAAATTTATGTTTTAAATATTTTCTAAATTAGATTTTAGAGAAACATTAAAGTAAATAAAAAAGAACATCTTTGATATGTAACTAAACATGACTTGATGATAGGATTGTGGGCATTAAAATTTTGACGTCAAGAAGGGCCAGGGTGAGAAAGTTCACTGGACATGCGCACTCACGTGTGTTTACGACATCAACAAATAGACAGTTCACTCTCTCACGTCTAAAGTAACAAAACTAGACTGACAAGTTAGGTAGTTGTTTCGTGACAAGTGTATGTGTATGTAGGGGGATGGGGGTAAACTAAAGTGAGATTTATATTGACGTTAGGTAGTTGTTTAGTGACAAGTGTATGTGTGTATGTGTGTGTGGGGGGGGGGAGATGAGGGGAGGGGTGGTGAAACTCATATTGACGTTAAATAGTCGTTTCGTGACAAGTGTATGTGTATGTAGGGGGAGGGGGTAAACTAAAGTGAGATTTATATTGACGTTAGGTAGTTGTTTAGTGACAAGTGTATGTGTGTATGTGTGTGTGGGGGGGGGGGGGGCTCAAGTGAGACTTATGTTGACGTCATCTGGAGCTGAAGCAAAGGTCAAAGGTAAAGTAAAATGAAATGATAAATTACAGATTTTAATTATAATTAAAAAATAATTTCAGAATTATTTGGTTGCCTGTTAGTCAAACATACCTTTTAAAACATGATGAATCAAGTAGGCTAAAACTATTCACTTAAGTCTTATTTTAAGTAAGAATACACGCATAAATATGAATTGTTTTACTGTTCTAAACCATGACTTTTTAAATATATCTGTATCATAAAAAATCACTTCATTAAATTATGTTAATTAGTTTAATGCAATTATTCTGAAAGTAGTCGAGCTAATTTGTTTTTCAATAGTCACTATTTCTTTGTATATTTTTGCAAAATAAAATGGCGCTAAACTTAGAACAACTGCAGTGGAATGGTGAAGTCGGGGATTGTAGTGTGTGTTGGTCGTGTATGTCGGATGGCAATGTTGGATGAGAGCAAGTTAGCAAGACAGCAGAGTTGTCAATGACACATGACATGTAATGACACGTTACTGTCACATACAAACGAAATGACAAAATACAACAACTAACAGAAGATGGACGGGAATTTATTTCTGGTGAACTAATTAAAACATTTCAGGTGAACAAATTAAAACATTTCAGGTTAACTAATTAAAACATTTCAGGTGAACTAATTAAAACAACACTGCCGCTAAAATTAAACTGTATATACATAAATTTATGTTCAATTTTACTCAGTATGTGAGGTTTATGTAAGGTATCATTCTCATGTTATCTTATTTCTTATATAAACTACTATTTAGATTTCTTTTTCAAACACCTTTCTTTTTCAAATTGTTTACATTTCATTTCTGTCGACCTAGTGGGTGGGGGTGGTGGGGGTGGTGGGGGTGGTGGGGTTGTATGCGTGGGTTAAGGTCAATTAAAATATAAAAATAAATGTACTGCATTAATCATTTTTGTAATTTATAATATGTAGTGTTGTCTGTAAATAGGTTTTTTTTAAATAATTAAATCATTACATAATTATAATCTGATTAAGATGAATAATTAAAGAAACTAGAAGCAAAATTCACACCGCGATACAAAAGCTTACTTACCTAGGCAAGCACACACCAACACCAACACACACACCAACCCGCACCCACACACAAACACACACACAATCCCACACCAACATGAGACAACAGACGTGTAACGGGAGTCACGTGATGTAAGCGTGCAGACACCAAGCAGGCGGGGAGGGGGGTGTTAGAAAGCATAGCGAGTAGCCTCTACCAGCAGTCTACGTGTAGCCTTTAGACTATGGGTAGCCTTCAGTCTACGTGTAGCCTTCAGACTATGGGTAGCCTTTAGACTATGGGTAGCCTTTAGACTATGGGTAGCCTTTAGTCTATGTGTAACTATCAGTCTACGTGTAGCCTTCAGACTACGTGTAGCCTTCAGACTATGTGTAGCCTTCAGACTTCGTGTAGCTTTCAGACTATGGGTAGCCTTCAGACTATGTGTAGCCTTCAGACTATGTGTAGCCTTCAGACTATGGGTAGCCTTCAGACTATGTGTAGCCTTCAGACTATGTGTAGCCTTCAGACTATGGGTAACCTTTAGTCTACGTGTAGCCTTATTAGACTATGGGTAGGCTTTAGTCTACGTGTAGCCTTTAGACTACACTAGCCTTTATCATACTTAATTACCTAAGTATTAATTACATCCCTTTTCTTATCTATTAATGACGTCATTCGACATAATTTTTTTCCAAATGGTGGTAATTGCCTTTACGTCACATATTATTTAAAATTATTAAATTTAGCTCATGTTCTGAGTTTAGGAAATCCCTAACATACATACGCACGTTCAAAGTCTATGTTGTATTATTGTATATACATCAACACCTGGAACCCCACCCATCCACCTACCCACCCACCACTAATTCTAATCGTCTGAACGAAATCTATACTATAGGTGTTATTTGTGGTTCCTGTTAGTTTCTAGTTCCTGCTAATATTTGCTACTAGCATCAAACCACCAGGTTTCCATCGCTGCCCAAGCATACATTTGTTACTAGCAAAGCCCTAAAAATAGCACAACCTTCCTCCGGCTAAACTTTGCTACAAGCAGCCAAAAACAGACCCCCTTCTTGCGACTCTAGGTTTGCTACTAGCAAAGCATCAGACATGAGGTGACATTTGCAAGCTACCGGATGTGACACCGAAAACTAAAAATAGCTTACATGTTCAGCCGCTTCTCGCTAAGACTTTTAAAAAAATGAATTTAAAAAAAAATTGTTGAAATCGTTAAAAACAGAAATTCTAGAAATGTGTATTGAAGAAAATAAAAATTAAATGAAAAAAAAGTGCATTGTGTTCGAATGTCCTAAAAAACTTTGAATTCAGGGTCTGAAATTTGACCATTTATATGTTTATCTTAAAGTTGTGTAAAGTCTAAGAAATAGTGCCTCAAGCATAGAGAGTGTGATAAAAAAAAGTAAAATATTTAGTTTTAAATAATAGCTAAATGATGAACTAAAAGCACATTTCATTATATGTAGAAAAAAAAAGTTTTAAGATGGTTAAAAAAATCATATAAAAACGTCCTTAAAATGAACCTGATTAACAATTGAATAACATTGATGTATATTATGTATTCTCTGAATAGCATGCTATAACACCAAGGGAAGTAATCGAGAAAAAAGTTTGTACCTTTTCCTAGCTCTAGATATCCACTCCTTTAGTTTATTCTGCTGGCTGGCCAATCGCATGCTAGTGAAACAATACAGTGTGAGCAAGGTGGGCGTGGTCAAGGTTGGGTTAGAGGTTGGCCCCTCCCACTAACGCTACCATATTAGGTGAGACGGTCAGGTTTAGGGCCCCTCACTCTAGCGATGGAGGATCATCCACCCCTCTCTGTCTTTAGTAAATGCCTCTTGCCACCCCCTCTCATCCCGACCCCTGTCATCCCGACCCCTGTTATCCTGATCCCTATCACGGTTATAATGTGCTAAGCTACACAAGCGCGTTCAAACACCTGTGTGAACTAACAATGCCGAGGTGTGTAGAGTTCACATGTGTGTAGAATAAGGATACACAGGTGTGTAGAAATATGAAACTTTGGCAACGGTGTGCTAAAATATTCGACAAATTAATCAATAACACCATAGCTTTCTGTCTTTTAGTCGTTATCTAGCCGACGTTACCTAATCGACCGTCGTCAAGCTAATCGATATATCGATCTTTGAATTGTGCAATCATACACCAACATCGAACCATTGATCTAATGACTGATCCAGTAGATTTGAACCTGTGTACAGTCACCCGCTAGTTACAATACACACAACCATTTATGTATCTTTTTATGTTTAGTTCAACTAGTAGAGATTGTGCTCTCTAACTCGAAAGTTAAGTATTAGACGACCTACGGGTTGTAGATCCACCTAGCTTTACATTAGCACTGATGGTAAATCCACCTAGCTTTACATTAGCATTGATTGTAAATCCCCCTAGCTTTACATTAGCATTGATTGTAAATCCCCATAGCTTTACATTAGCATTGATGGTAAATCCCCCTAGCTTTACATTCGCATTGATTGTAAATCCCCATAGCTTTACATTAGCATTGATTGTAAATCTCCGTAGCATTACATTCGCATTGATTGTAAATCCCCATAGCTTTACACAAGATGTGTAAATGCCCTGCAGACAACAAGCAGTGTTAAAGTTATGAGAATAAAAATGCTGGAGTTGTTAATTATTTCAAAGATGAGTAAATGCGCATGCGTAGATGGTAACAACATTAAAATACATAGGAAGATAATCAGGTTAAATAGTTTGAGAAACTTATGACAGCAAGTTAGGATTGATTAATGACACAATTTGGGTGGGGGGGGGGGGCATAGAAAGATGAGATCACGTGTGTATTATGACACGCCCACTATGGTGCGGACAGGGGTGGTGGGACATGAGCTATAATTAGACCGGAAGCGGAAACAGCCATAACAAAATGGCGTGGAGACTGAAGCTGATGAAGTTAGACCAAGCCAAAAAGAAGCAAACGACAACATTGGCACCTTGTTAAAGACGCCAGAACTACCATGCAGTTTTTCTGTGCTTTTCGTTTAGACTGTGCTATTTTAATCACTGAGGTTTTACAACTCTATTGTGCAAATTGGGGCCTTAACATGTCATGTAGATAAAACAAACACGATAAACCTGTCATTTAATAAATAATTTTTAACCAATTAGTGCGTAGAAATTGCAGATCAATTTAAACCTACACCCAGACTAAGGGAGGGAAACAAAAATTGTCACCAAAAAAAATATTTGACATAAATATGTCAAAATTTTACAGCATAAGTAACGTTTCCTCTGCTATAATACGACATATAACTTGTAGGTTATAGGTATTGCAACAGATTTTCAATAAATTATTTTGTTAATATTTCATTACATCTTGAATTTTTTTGTAAACAATTTTCCGAACTTATATGTAAAGTACTTAAAATTTGGCATAAACATTCCTTGCGTTATTGAAAGTCATTCATGGCATACCATTCGGATGAGAAATACATTTTTTTGGTCAGACTTTGAAAAATTTCAAAAGTTTCGAAATTTGTAACAATGAATATCTTCTAGTTCCAGATATGGGCTACCCGCTACCCTGTTATGCATCTCCTAGAGCAGGGGTCGGCAACCTTTTGAGATGGAAGAGCCAAACGTTACCATTTACACAATTTCTCAGCTTTCAAAGAGCCACTAACATTTTTATTTCAATATTATGATATTTGATTAGAATTCATTATATATATATATATATATATATATATATATATATATATATATATATATATATATATATATATATATAGCAATGTATGTATGTGTGTGTGTCTTTTATTTATGAATGCACCTTTCATCCGATCGCCATGATACTTTAGGAAGTTGTTGAGAATAATCCTGGGGATGTATCTGCGAAAATAAAATGTCAAATTCGCAGCGGTGGCGCCCCGACAGGGAGCGATTCGATTTATAAAAATTAAAGTCGATTGCGGGTTGACATCCTTTATCCGATCGCCATGAAACTTTGGGTAAGTTGGTTAGAAAACTCCAGGGGAGGTTACTTCACAAAAAAAATCGTTTTTTCTTTTTCGCAAGGGCGGCTTCCCGGGAGGGTGCGGTATATAAAATAAAAATAAAAGTCGGATGAGGTTAAAGACAGTTAATCCGAGTGCCATGAAACTTTGGAGAGTAGATTAGAATACTCCCGAGAAGATTTCTTTGAAAAAAAATGTCTTATGCGCAGCGCCCGGAAGGGTTCGATGTTAGGTTGCAATTAGGCGATCAGGACTATCACGCGAGCACTATGTTAGTTTTAAGGAGCGCCCTTCAATTTTGGTAATGCGGCACACGACATTCGATAATTCAACCGAGCTAGGGGCTGTACGAGACGCCCCTGCGATAGTGCAATCGGTTTCAAAAGTGTGCCACTCAAAAGAGTATCCCTGACACTTAGGCGGTGAGTGATTAACGGTGATATTACGGTGAGTGGTTAACTTACACTCAGGGCTTTCATACAGCACGCCATGGTGGTGGGCGACAGTGGGTAACCAGTGCCCCGATAAATATGTTCCAAACACAGGCATTGTTTACATTTAAAATAACTCAGTTTTAGAAGACAAGGTAGTACATCGAAATTGGGAGTAACTAAATATTCTAATAGAATAGCGAATGTTTATTGTTTATATTTATTATTATTTCGTTCATTACCGAGTGTTGCAGATTAAAAATTTTATGAGTTTCAAGAATAAATTAAAATATGTATTAATATTTGTGCATGGAGCTGAAGAGCCGCACCTTGACATCCAAAGAGCCGCATGCGGCTCGCGAGCCGCAGGTTGCCGACCCCTGTCCTAGAGTATTTTCAGCAGGAAGGGTCTAAATGTTGGAAAACCGCAGCCACAAATTACTTAGTAAAATTGTTTGTAAAATTATTCATAAAAATGTTTGCATCATACGTTAACTTTCTTTTATGTGCTGTTTTATAGCTCCTTGATATTTACTATTATGGTAAAAAATGTATGTGTGTATGTATAATAGTTTTTTTTTTGGCAAATTTTTTCGTCAATTTTCAAATTTTTGAGTGATACTGCCCCCTTAATAGGTTTTGATCTTTAAAACATATAAATTACAGCCAACTTTAGTACATTTTTAAATTTGTTCTTCTGACTAATCGATGTTTTTATCTAGATTTATTGAAAATTTTACAGAACAGACTATAGATTAAAGCATTGTTAACATATATATAGTTCTTATATCAGAGGTTGTGTTAAGTTTATAAGAAAGTAAAAATAGATTTCACTCACCCAATAGCGGCACCAATGTGGCCGTTCGGCATCCGCCCCCGACTAGCCAACCAATCGCTGCTCGTCTGGTCGCGGTTAAACTGGGTCAGCAAGGGGGACAACTGCGTGTTACCTCTGACGTCACTGGCGTCGTCGTCGTTGTCGTCCTTGATGCGGACGGGCTTGGGTCGTTTCTTGGAGTTGAGGTCGTTGTTATTGTCCTCTTCATCGTCTTCTTCTTCTTCGTCCTCAGATATGGAGGGGAGGGTGATGACAGGGGCGGCGGTGGACGACTCGTCCTGGGGGTAGATATCAGGGGTATGGGATGGGTTATATTATAAACCGCAGGTTCAGGGTTGGGGGAGTGGATTATACAGAGGCGTAGCGACTCCTCTCGGCGCCCATCCACTATATTTTTTGTGTTTATAATTCAAAACTGCAGTTAAAATAAGTTTTTAATTTTTTTTTTTAAACCCATTTTGGCGTCCCTTGGGTCGGCGCCCGGGGACGTATGTACCCCCCTCCCTTTCGCTACGCCTCTGGGTTTATATAGGGCAGGTAATGGGAGGGCGGAGTGAGGGGTGGATTATAGACCGTAGGTTCAGTGGTAGGAGGTGTGGCTTATGGATGGTTATAATTGGGGGAGTGGTTTATATAGGGCAGGTTCATGGTTTGGGCTGGGGGGGGGGGTGATTTATAGACGGCACGTTCAGGGTTTCAGGGTTGACGAGGTGGGTGATGTAAGGCAGGTCCATAGTTTATAATAATGGTATACTTTATTTAAAATGTACCTTTAAAAGAATCTTTAAGTTAAAAATTGAATTTTAAAACAATTGTTAACGTAGGCCTATATATTTTAACCCAGTATTTAGGGTATGAATGTTATTTAAAAATCATTAAAAATAACAGTATTACTGTTATAAAAACAAAAACTAGAAGTGTTATAAAAAATTAATATATAATTTAACAAAATAGTGAGAGCTATGACTGACAAAACCATAGGTTTAAAAAAAACGTCTTGCTTACGTCACTGTGGTCCTCGTGACCCTCCCTGACGTTGTAGGTGAGGTCATTGGGCAGCTCCGTGTTGAAGGTCTCGGCGTAGTCAGGGTAGAGCAGCAGGGACTCGACCAGACCTTTGACCTAATGATACACAGAGGTCACAGGTCAAAGGTTACAGCAAGCAGGGACAGCAACAAGTAGACTACATTGAGACAGTAGCATAACTCGAATTATTGGGGTGTAAGATGAAAGGCTGACATCAAAAAGGCCGACAGGGGAAAAAGCCGACATGAGTAAAAGGCCGAGGAGGACAAAAGACCAATATCAACAAGGTCGACTGGACATTAGGCTGACAGATTATAAACCCGACAGCCAAATGACAGATTCGCAAAATGCCAACAAACTGTAAAGCCGATATCTAAAAGGCCTTTAATCTGGATCCCGAATTATGCCCATTTAATGCTCCTGGGAAAGGGGATGCACATATAACTAACCAAATGTTATACGGGATAAGATCATTAATTATGAACGTTATTGAATTCACGGAAATTATCACACTTGTATCATTATATGTGCACTTGTCTATGATTGTATGTGCACTTGTGTATGATTGTATGTAGAACGTTCTTGTGGAGCTGAAGTGTAGGAGCTAACTGGCAGCAGTCGAGAGTTAAGTTCCTGAGAGCTAAGTGAGCTAAGTTCCTGTGAGCTGTTCTAAGAGGTACCTGTAAAGGCCTTCACAGCTTATGACGTCATTACCTGTATGCACAGCAGCTCACAGTAGGCTAGAGACCTGACGTCACATCCGCTGATGCTCACGGGGTCGTCATAGTCAAGGTCAGTGCCAAAGATGTCACCTTTACCTGCAAAAGATGAGGCAGATTTGAATATCATAAGAGTATTAACAAGGCATCAGTAAGTACCAACATAACATTAATAGAGTATTATTAAAGTATCAATATAAAACTAATAGATTATCAACAGTGACAAAGACGTATCATAAATTTTAGATGAGTAAAAGCTTTAACAGGTCTAAATCTGAACTAATCCCTTAAACAAATTAATCCCCTAACTAATCCTTTACTTGAGCTAAACCATAACTAACTTAACCCTAAATTTAAATTATCATGATACTTTTTTTTTTTTAATTTCGAGCACAACCTTAATTAATTAGAGCCTTTTGATTTGGGATTCATGTTATTCACTGGCACATGCACACATGCAGCATGTGAGAACCCACCCCACCCCACCCCAGTACTCACCCAAGATGGCCACCACCCACTCACCTTTGATCCCCCACCCCACCCTCCCCTGCACTCACCCAAGATGGCCACCACCCACTCACCTTTGATCCCCCACCCCACCCTCCCCTGCACTCACCCAAGATGGCCACCACCCACTCACCTTTGATCCCCCACCCCACCCCACCCCTGTACTCACCCAAGATGGCCACCACCCACTCACCTTTGATCCCCCACCCCACCCCTCCCCTGCACTCACCCAAGATGGCCACCACCCACTCACCTTTGATCCCCCACCCCACCCTCCCCTGCACTCACCCAAGATGGCCACCACCCACTCACCTTTGATCCCCCACCCCACCCTCCCCTGCACTCACCCAAGATGGCCACCACCCACTCACCTTTGATCCCCCACCCCCCCCCTTTACTCACCCAAGATGGCCACCACCCCACCCTCCCCTGCACTCACCCAAGATGGCCACCACCCACTCACCTTTGATCCCCCACCCCACCCTCCCCTGCACTCACCCAAGATGGCCACCACCCAGTCACCTTTGATCCCCCACCCCACCCTCTCCTGCACTCACCCAAGATGGCCACCACCCACTCACCTTTGATCCCACACCCCATCCTCCCCTGCACTCACCCAAGATGGCCACCACCTGCTCATCTTTTAGCACCTCCATGCTGCCACTACAGACGTAGTACAGGTAGTTGACCGCGTCACCCTGGGGAAAAAAAACGGCAGGTCACTTTTGTTAGCCGCTGGTCAACATTTGTTAACTTTTGTTAGCCGTTGGTCAACATTAGTTAACTTTTGTTAGCCGTTGGTCAACATTAGTTAACTTTTGTTAGCCGTTGGTCAACATTAGTTAACTTTTGTTAGCCGTTGGTCAACATTAGTTAACTTTTGTTAGCCGTTGGTCAACATTTGTTAACTTTTGTTAGCCGTTGGTCAACATTTGTTAACTTTTGTTAGCCGTTGGTCAACATTTGTTAACTTTTGTTAGCCGTTGGTCAACATTTGTTAACTTTTGTTAGCCGTTGGTCAACATTTGTTAACTTTTGTTAGCCGTTGGTCAACATTTGTTATTTTTTGTTAGCCGTTGGTCAACATTTGTTAACTTTTGTTAGCCGTTGGTCAACATTTGTTAACTTGTTTTAGCCGTTGGTCAACATTTGTTAACTTTTGTTAGCCGTTGGTCAACATTTGTTAACTACTGGCTTAAGGTCTCCATTGCGTTGTCACTGATAAGCATAAGCATCTCATGTTAAGTCAACCTCAAACTAAATTATTTTTTTAAACAAGTATTTGTAAATAGTCATTATAATGTGTTAATTTAGTAAAATTTGATAAACATGTACGTATGTCTTCGTAGTTTACACCTCATATGTCGGATTTTGTAAATAAAAAGGCGGGATCTGTGTAGAACTTGAGGGAAAATGTTGGTCTAGAATTCAGGGGTCTCCAAACTTTTCAGCCCGAGGGCCGCATTAACTATCAAATATACGTTCGGGGGCCAGAGTTTCTTCAAGACATCTCTTCGGGGTGGCAGCGCCCCCCCCCCCCCCTCGAAGAACGTGTATCGTCCTCCCCCCCCCCCCCCCCCCTTAACAAAATATAATTTATATAGAAATATACACAAATTTCAAGTGCCCCCTCCCCGGAGAAAAAATTCTGAAAGAAACACTGTCGGTGGCCAAAATCACACTCGAGGTCCAAGTTTGCTCTCAAATTGTTCTTCACGTATTTCAATCTTGAAAATATTTTTTCACACAGGTACCTTGTTACAAAATTTGAAAGGTACTTTGATGCAAAAGTTTGAATATTAGGAAAATCTTCCTTTTGCAAGAACTTATAAAAACCCACCCGCCCTTCTTTGAACGTGTCTCTAAAGACCTCCAGCTGCAGTTTACCTTTGCAACTGGCCACATTTGCTTCAAATGGGTTCTGAAACAGTCTCACTTTTTTCTGCCTTTGAATCCAAGTCAAACACCGCTACTGAAACTGCAGCTTGAAGTCTTTGATGATCTCGTATGCAAATGACGTTGGGAACTCAGTGGTTGCTTCAGCCTAAAGACCTTTCACTGCTGAGAGTGTTTAAGTTGTTGACGTGTACTTGTTTCAAAAACATGACAAGTTTGGATCTGAAAGCCTTTAGGTGTATAGATCAGAAACTAAATTTCCCTCTCTTGTAGTTTTAGGTTCAGAAAATTTAAATGACTAGTTTTGTTTGCAGCAGAGGCCCATTTCTATACCCACTCTTCATCAGGCAGTAAGTGCATCAGCTTGTGGCTTGCCTTTACTTTCAAGGAAGTCACCTATTTCCTTTCTTAACTTAAATACTCTGCCATCTTAGTGCTGTGAAATATGGTAAATCTTGCGATTCAGTGTTTCTATCTTTAAACATTTCTTTGAACTATTTTATTTTCTCTCCTGTAGCAGTGCCATACATTCTATGTAGGGAAGCCAGCTCTTGTGTTATGTTTATGTCTTCATCCACACCTTTAATGAACACAAGCAGTTGAGATGTGGAACAGCTGTCCAGCAACTGATCCATTACAATTAAAAAATGGCCAAACTTGCTTGCATTTTCGCTATTTGAGTCACGATGTTTTCACCAATGTCTGCAACACAGCGGGCAATGGTATTTGGACCCAACGCTACATTTTCAAATTGTTTTGAATTTTCTGGGCATAGTTTCTCAGCCACCTCTAACAAACATTTATTCCATGGACAAAAAGATCGGCGAGGGCCGGATGAGAGGACCTCGCGGGCCGCATCTGGCCCGCGGCCGTAGTTTGGAGACCCCTGGTCTAGATCTTTAAGATCAATCGCTGTTTTTTAACACGCAACGTTGACTTATGTAGGTGAACATCTCGCTTACCTAATGTAAGGTAACCAATTTACCTATGTAAATATCTTGCTTGCCTAATGTAAGGTAACCAGTTTACGTATATAATGTAAACCTCTCGCTTACCTTATGTAAGGTAACCAGTTTAATTATGTAATGTAAACCTCTCGCTTACCTTATGTAAGGTAACCAGTTTACCTATGTAATGTAAGCACCCCACTTACCTTATGTAAGATAAACTCTCCTGGCCCGCAGACGAATCTCTCTGTCTGTAACGAGACAGATTTGAGACACCCCGGGGGTGCCAGCTGAAAGATGGGTAGGGACAGGATCTCTCGGTGCAGGTGTAGCCCAATCTCTCCCCTCATGTCCTCGGGAAAATCTTTCAGGATCTACACACACACATTTTTCTAATTTAGTCAAATACATCCCATATTTTTATAATAGAACTTTTAATATTGATGAATCTTAGAACTGACAGTAACAACAAGCAATCGTATTACTACCATTGCCCACAAAGAATTAATAAATGTGTATCGATGAATTTTCATAATTTAATGAGTTATTTTTATTTTTCTTACACCAAACTTAAAATTTCGCGCTTTATCATAAGTGTAAACCATCTTTTATCATAGTTACTCCTGAATATAAATAGTTCAGTATTCATAATCAGTTAAATTATTCTCAATTAAGTTAGTATCCTTGTATACACTCTTTGCACTAACATCTACTAAATATTCAGTAATCTCTAACCAACACTGTACACCACTAGCTACTATGTATAGAAGCTGCACCTACCAACAGACAAATAGACCATAACCTTTTCGCAAATTGAACCCTAACCACTTTAAAAATAGACCCATAACCTTTACGCCAATTGAATCCTAAACCTTCTACAAATAGACCAATAACCTTTAAGCCAATTGAATCCTAAACCCTCTACAAATAGACCCAAAACCTTTAAACCAATTAAATCCCAACCTATCAACAAATAGACCCTAAACAACTAGACACATTAACCCTTAACCTCAAGCCAAACGCCCACTAATCTAGACATCGTGACCTCTGACCCCCAGCCTAACGCCCCACAAATCTCTAAACATCGTGACCTCTGACCTCGCTTAACCTCCAGCCTAACGCCCCACAAATCTCTAAACATCGTGACCTCTGACCCCCAGCCAAACGCCCCACTAATCTCTAAACATCGTGACCTCTGACCTCCAGCCAAACGCCCCACTAATCTCTAAACATCGTGACCTCTGACCTCCAGCCAAATGCCCCACTAATCTCTAAACATCGTGACCTCTGACCCCCAGCCTAACGCCCCACTAATCTCTAAACATGGTGACCTCTGACCTCCAGCCTAACGCCCCACTAATCTCTAAACATCGTGACCTCTGACCTCCAGCCTAACGCCCCACTAATCTCTAAACATCGTGACCTCTGACCTCCAGCCAAATGCCCCACTAATCTCTAAACATCGTGACCTCTGACCCCCAGCCTAACGCCCCACTAATCTCTAAACATCATGACTTCTGACCTCCAGCCAAACGCCCCACTAATCTCTAAACATCGTGACCTCTGACCCCCAGCCTAACGCCCCACTAATCTCTAAACATCGTGACCTCTGACCTCCAGCCAAATGCCCCACTAATCTCTAAACATCGTGACCTCTGACCCCCAGCCTAACGCCCCACTAATCTCTAAACATCGTGACCTCTGACCCCCAGCCAAACGCCCCACTAATCTCTAAACATCGTGACCTCTGACCCCCAGCCAAACGCCCCACTAATCTCTAAACATCGTGACCTCTGACCTCCAGCCAAATGCCCCACTAATCTCTAAACATCGTGACCTCTGACCCCCAGCCTAACGCCCCACTAATCTCTAAACATCGTGACCTCTGACCTCCAGCCAAACGCCCCACTAATCTCTAAACATCGTGACCTCTGACCCCCAGCCTAACGCCCCACTAATCTCTAAACATCGTGACCTCTGACCTCCTTAAAATCGATGCCGTTGTTAATAGACCACATAGCCTGGAAGTAGTCCCTCATCCGGTGCTTGAGTGGCTTGGGGAAGTGGTGGATACGGAAGAAGTCCTTCAGGTCCTTTGTCTTGGAGTGGAAGGTGGCGCGGCGCGCGTACATGCGCTGGATGATGGTGGTCACGTTACCGAACACAACGGCGTGCATGATGGCTGGGTGGGGGGGGGGGGGGGGGAAAGAAGGGTGGGGTAAGTCATGGGTGAGTAGGTTTTGGTTTCCTCCACACATCCGCATGCACCCCCGCACATCCCCCACACATCCCTATACACCCCCTAAACATCCCCACACATCCCCCACACATCCAACACACATCCATGTACACCTCCCACACACCCCACACACACATCCCCCACACATCCCTATACACCTACACACCCCCACACACACATTCCTAAATACCCCCTATATATATATATATATATATATATATACCCCAAAAATCCCCCACACATCCCTATACACCCCCTGTATATCCCCCACACATTCCCACACATCCTCCACACCATAAACCCATACATCCTTACACCATGTATTCATACATCCCCCACATCATCTAAGCACACATCCTCCCGCACATCCTCGACATCCACACACTCACCACCCACACACCCCTATACATATAGCCCCCAACACATCCCCCACACATCCTTCACACATCACCCACACATCTCCCACACATCCCTACATACCTCTATATATCCCCCACACATTCCCACATATCCTCCACACCATGAACCGACACATCCCCAGACCATGTACCTATACATCCTCCCCACATCATCTACCCACACATCCTCCCACACACCACCCACACGCACTCACCTCCCACCAACATGGCGCAGACAGAGAAAATTTTCTCAGCGTTAGTGTTAGCCGAGACGTTGCCGAACCCGACGCTGGTGAGACTGGAGCAGGTGAAGTAGAGTGCGGTTAGGTATGACGTCATCATATCTGGAATGTTCTCTGACTTGTTGAATATCTTGTTGTCCAGTCGCTCGGACAGCTCGTACAGCCAGCCTGGTGGTGGACAGCAAGGTCAAGGTCAAGATCTATTTTAAGCCTCGCTATAAACATGTCAACAGTTCTATTAGACAAAAACATATTGCATCTTTAAAATGCAGCTCCCCCCCCCCACTCCACTGTTGACCAATACAACTACACATCTTTGGACCATCCCCCCCCCCCCACCTACCGACCCACCTTCCCCACTAGCTTATGGACCAGTCCCCCTACCCCACCCCATCTACCGATACCTCCCCCACTCACCTATGGACGTCACCCCCCCCCCCGACACAGGCCTCCCCTTCCACCACTCCACACACACACACTCACCTATCGACCAGTTCCACCACCTACCGACCCCCCCCCCCACCCTACATTCCGTCCTCCTTCCCCCCTCCCCACTCACCTATGGACCAGTCCCCCCCACTCACCCACCCCCCTCCCCCGCTCACCTTTGGACCTGTCCCCCCCACTCACCCACCCCCCTCCCCCACTCACCTATGGACCAGTCCCCCCCACTCACCCACCCCCCTCCCCCGCTCAGCTATGGACCAGTCCCCCCCACTCACCCACCCCCCTCCCCCACTCACCTATGGACCAGTCCCCCCTCCCCCCCACACACACACTCACCTATGGACCAGTCCCCCCACTCACCCACCCCCCTCCCCCACTCACCTATGGACCAGTCCCCCCTCCCCCCCCCCTCCCCCACTCACCTATGGACCAGTCCCCCCTCCCCCCACACCCCCACTCACCTATGGACCAGTCCCCCTCCCCCCCCCACACCCCCACTCACCTATGGACCATTCCCCCCACACCCCCACTCACCTATGGACCATTCCCCCCACACCCCCACTCACCTATGGACCATTCCCCCCACACCCCCACTCACCTATGGACCAGTCCCCCACTCCCCCCCCCCCACCCCGCCACTCACCTATGGACCAGTTCCCGTCGTTCTCATCCAGCTCGGCCTTGCCAATGGCGTACCAGATGCAGGCGAGCCAGTGCGCCAGTAGGGCGAACATGCACATGAGTAGGGCGAGCACCAGGACGCTGTACTGGTTGTACCGCTCCAGCTTCTGTAGGAGCCGGGCCAGCCGGAGCAGCCGGGCCACTTTCAGCAGGTGCACCATGGTCGCCTGGGCGGGAGAGACAGAGTTCAAGGTCAGCGGGGGCCAAAGGTCAAACACTGGGTCACGGTGACATTCGTTAAAATTTCCAATAAATTATGTTTATATCAGCGTGTTTTATAATTAGTTAAAAAGGCGGTTATTTGCACACATCTAATTAAACCTGTCATTGTTAAAATAAATATTTTCAACATAATTTAATTATAAATTAACGTGCATATGGTTATGTAATATTTTAAAGTTTTCAGTTGAGTAAAATTATCTCTCAACAAGCCCATCAAAAACATAACCTATAGCCGGCTAAGTTCTGAAATAAACAGCCACCAACCAATCACCCTTTCCTCCTCCTCCCCCCCCCTCGCTTCTACCCAAAAAAAACAGAAAAAAACCTGCTCCATAGAAATTACCACATTTTTTTTACTGGTTTATGGTTAACTAAAATACTGTATTTAGATGGGAATAACTTAACAAAGTATCTAAAATAGCATCTACATTATTTCCTACTAAGTAAAATTAATAAACAGTTTGAAAATAAAAAAGATCCCTATGAAAATAGACAATATCCCTATGAGAATAGACAATATCCCTATGAGAAAAGAGAATATTCCTTCACCATTGTGTGACAAGTAATAAATCTAGGTCTAGTTTAGGGAAGGGATTTAACTCTTTATACACCATCACACTGTTAGTCTAATGTAAATACCATTTGATCATTTTAAAAATAAAACATAAAAGTGTTAATTTTATCGACGAAATTTTAATTATTTTAATAAAATGTTAGTTAATTTAATACTAAAAGTTAAAAAGCAAAAACAAAAAAATTTCTTAAACAAACTAATGTTAGAAAATTTATGTAAATTTAGTATTGAACCTTAACATAAGCATGTTAGAAGTTAGCAAGTACTTTCATGCAAATTTGTTGACCCTCATAGTATCTATATTTACATCACATTTAACAATGCAGGCAATATGCAGTTGGTCCATTCATAGTTAGGCTACAGAACAACATAAACACCGAACATAAAAGGTTTTTTCAACAAATTGATGTAGTGATGTGTTTAAAAAAAAAGTGATTTATTTCTGATGTGATCTATTTGTGATGCGATCTGTGAACTATGGGATGGATTTGTCACGTGATCAGTAAAGCTTGTGGTACAAAATTCATACAATCAAAATGTTGTTTATCTGTTTGTCAGTGGTCTCATATAGTGGTCTCATAGAGTAGTCTCAAGTTTTATTTTGTCCAGTCATATATATATATATATATATATATATATATATATATATATATATATATATATATATATATATATATATATCGTCTACACATGCAACTAGAAGTTCAGCTAATAAGGAATCTATAAAGAAGAATGTTAACTTCCTGTCTATTGTATTAAAAATAGTACATTTTAAATTTTCTTCAGAACTCGATGCCTCTAGTGAGTCTAGTGTATATAAAGTATGCATGCTATAAATACAACTCAATAAAAACTTTTATGAAGAAAAACATGTATGTTGTGTAATTTATGTGCAAAATTTACATGCTAATAAATCAAAAAGTCCAAAAGTAAATTAAGAAATTAGAAAAAATAAATAAGATTTTATATTAAGTCTTTGGTGCTGTGTGAAAAAAAAGTTAAAAAAGGAAATTTATTTTTTTAAGTTTGAGAAAGAAATGAACAGCCCCTTAAGGTTGATTGTAATACCAAAACGAGGGTAGGTTTAAATTTACCATGTTTGTGATGGAATCTCCCTGCGATAGTAGGATAGAACAGTGATCAGAGGGTTAGTGCTTTACAGGCAACAGGGGGTTAAGGTCTGGTAATATATTCATACAAAACACGGAGGTTAGAATTTTAGTCTTTTCGTTAACGATCACTAATTAGGCCTATATTACTAGTTTAAATTGAAAAAGCAGTCTATATTTTTTTTATGAATAAATCTCAAAAGAACAAAAATCTCAGAAACATTGCTATTTTTAAAAAATCACGGACAGCTTTGTTATTCTATTAAATAAATAACAAATGATCTTTAAATGACCTTTTCGTTACTTGCCTATATTCTAATGACTTATATAAGACTATAAAAATATGGCGAGATTTATTTATTTGGCTATTAATTCCTTAGTTTAGATTGATGTAGATGTTCAATACTACTGGTTTAAAATAGGAAAATATTAATATTAAGGGTAAGTATGAATTTTGTACTAAAATAGCTACACTTTCTATCGCTATGTAGAGTGTAATTAGTCCAGGTTTAGCTAATCAACTAATTGGCCAACCAAACACAAACAACGACAGTTACAACGGCAGCATCTCTAAGAGCAAATAAAGGTATTACGTCACACACAACCACGTGACATCAATGTTTTGATGCAAAGAATAGATTTACAACACTTGCAACGTAAACAATCAACATCCGGTATTTTAATATCGCTGCATTTTTAAAAAAAACTTTGATTCCAACTAAAAGTTTATTCTATATTTTTTAGTTCGAGTTAGTATAAGCTCTTATTCGATGCAAGAAGACTTTAATGATAAAAGGTGTTTATTTTACAGCCCAAAATTTTAATTTTAATTGGTTTACAGCTATAACAGGAAAGACAACAATTAAATTAAATTTTCAAAATTTAAAACAAAAATAGTCCAAGGATCTTTTGGGTAAATGTATAATTTTTAGACTAATTCGTGAAATTCTCTTATGATAATGTACTGTACTGTAAATCATGAAATTAACCCTGATATTTTAGGTAAATAAGGAGTTAAATGTAAATCATGAGATTTTGGGGTAGACATTGTTTAAGATGAGGGGAACGACGAAGAAGAAGAAATCTGAAACCGACAAGGACTTACATCTCGTACCGTCTCCACGCTGAAGGCGTACATGAGGTCAAAGGGTATGGCGGCCAGAAGGTCAAGGAGAAACCAGCCCTTGATGTAGTTCAGCACGATGAGCCTGGAGTCGTAGACCACCTGCCCGCTCTTGTTCAGGAACGTCGTTCTAAAGTTGAGGAAGATGTCTGCAACCAATGACGTCACACGTTACTCACACGTCACCAGTACCATGACGTTGCGTTAAACTATTATAACATGTTGTAAATTGAGCACTGCGTGGCCTAATGGTTGAGCGCTAGGGTGCTAACCCGAACGTCTCGAGTTCGAATCTGGATTACTGAGTCGACCCAGCTCTGATGGGTAGGCTACTTAACTCAGGTAAACGAAAGTAAACGAAAGTAAAGGCCGTAGGGCATAGTGCGGGTTATACTGTCCTTTCATATGTCGAGGTCACCTGCCCCTAGATCACAAAAGGAAGTTTGACATTGACCTAAAGAACGACATTGACCTCTGACATCTTAAACCTTGACACAACATTGACCACGACATTGCCATCCAGCAACAGATTTCAACGCTCTAGTCGATTCCGTGTATAAACAATCAATGTTCTGCTCTTAAAGCTTTCAACTAATAAAAGAACCAAAAATTAATTACTTTTTAAGCAAATCTACTCGCAGCTAAATAGACTTAAAATGCATATTCCCTCCCTTTCCAGCCAACCAATTTCATCCCTTTAGTAGTTCTGACAGCCATCGTAAAGCTATTCTAGCCATGTATCTTATTTACGTCTTTCTCAGAGTGTTGTGGGCATCTTTAAGACTAACCTCCGCTAATTATATGGTGAGTAGTACAGTGAATAGACGGTAACATGGTGTCTTGAACTTCCAAACGCAGCAGTATATTTCAATAGTCTAGTAAAAACCCTTCATAAGTCCATGTAAACCCTTCATTAATCACATGTAAACCCTTCATAATCTCGTTTAAACCCTTCAATAGTCTCTTATAAATCTCCATTAATCTCGTGTAAGCCTTACCTAACTTCACACATAAACACACACAGTCTAGTCACGTGCATATTTAAACCTAAGTGTGGCTCTCGTGGCTCTCAGGGCCCATTCTGGCTCTCGTGGCTCTCATAACATTTCTGGCTCTCGTGGCTGTTATGGCCCTTCTGGCTCTCGCGAATCTCATATCTTTAGCACAATCTCTCCCATCACGACATTAAGCTTCAATTAGCTCAAGATACCTGTCACAAGCCCCCCCCCCCACACTACTCACACACAATCCTACAACTTACCAGTACCATAAAGATCCTACACCACCCCTTATTTTAATTTCCTAACGCCGCACCCCACAATCCTCAACCCACACAATACCCCACACTCATGCCCAAACCCCACAATCCTCAACCCACACAATACCCCACACTCATGCCCAAACCCCACAATCCTCAACCCACACAATACCCCACACTCATGCCCAAACCCCACAATCCTCAACCCACACAATACCCCACACTCATGCCCAAACCCCACAATCCTCAACCCACACAATACCCCACACTCATGCCCAAACCCCACAATCCTCAACCCACACAATACCCCACACTCATGCCCAAACCCCACAATCCTCAACCCACACAATACCCCACACTCATGCCCAAACCCCACAATCCTCAACCCACACAATACCCCACACTCATGCCCAAACCCCACAATCCTCAACCCACACAATACCCCACACTCATGCCCAAACCCCACAATCCTCAACCCACACAATACCCCACACTCATGCCCAAACCCCACAATCCTCAACCCACACAATACCCCACACTCATGCCCAAACCCCACAATCCTCAACCCACACAATACCCCACACTCATGCCCAAACCCCACAATCCTCAACCCACACAATACCCCACACTCATGCCCAAACCCCACAATCCTCAACCCACACAATACCCCACACTCATGCCCAAACCCCACAATCCTCAACCCACACAATACCCCACACTCATGCCCAAACCCCACAATCCTCAACTTACCAATTGCAAAGAGCAACTTATGCCCACTCCACCTCACCGCAAATCTTCAAATTATAGGCCTAAGTAGTAAAAAAAAAAACACCCCCACACCACCAGACCCCCACATCCTCAACTCACCAATAGCGAACAGCACCTCCACGCCAGCGTCTATATACATGAAGTCTTTAATCCTGCCGTTCTTCCTGAAGGCCGCGTTAAATGGCACCATGATGGCGATATAGAATGTACACAACAGTATCAACCAATCCCAGCCTATCTTGAATATCCCGTAATGCACGATGATAAAGCGTGACTTCTTGACTTCCTGTACCTTATATTCGGGCATCTGGGATGCGAGCTGCCGAAAAAAGAAAAACTCCGTTACAACATGGGTAGGTGAAGTAGTGTTTGGGTATCCGGATCCTCTGTTTTATAACCCACTTGTGGAGTTGGACTCGAGGTTAAAAGCCCCCCACAAGAACAAATTTAAAACCTAATGCATTTTGGGATTGACGTCATATAAAGGGGGAGAATGCAGAGGGTGAAATGCTTTAGCCCTTCACTAGCCGGGTGCGTCGGTTATCGGGACACAAACTAGATAAGAGCGGAAGGAGTTCAGGTAACGTCGACATCAAAGAAAGGAAAATTACGAGATGTTAAGAAAATATGAGGATGGGTAGGGGAGGTAAGAGGTGGTTGTGGATAACTGAAGAGCTGCGCCCCGTGGGTGCAATAAAATGGAAGTGTTTTGAGAAAAAAATGTTGTGTGTGTTTATCTGCTTGGAAATGGACGATGCGCTAAATTTTGCTTCAGGTACTAGCGCAGTGTTTTTTTTTTTTAAAAAGCTTAGTTTTGGTTTGAATGTTTACAAATTTTAGAATAACCGAGATTTCGTTTTTGTGTGAAAGCAAAAGTTTATTTTAAAGTTATGAGCAATTGAGAGTTAAAATTATAAAATCTTCAATGTTATATATATATATATATATATATATATATATATATATATATATATATATATATATATATGTATATATATATATATATATATATATATATGTGTGTGTGTGTGTGTGTATGTGTGTATGTGTGTTTGTGTGTTTGTGTGTGTGACACATACGATATAAGATATACGTATCAATTGTTTAACAATATTTGTAACAATATATTGTGTATGTATATATTCATACACAGAATCGTTTTCTATCTTTAGCGCATCCATAGGACTAACTGGTGAGGTAAGACATATTTTGATAATGTAACACGTTTTTACTTTCTCGTATATACGAAGTATAGAGAAAGTCTTGTAATCGTGCAAAAAAAAAAATCGAGATTTTTGCAAATCTCGACGTTTTACATCTCACTGATACGGAAAAACATAATTTTGCAATCTTGTCCGTATGTCTGTGTGTCCGTGTGTGTGTGTGTGTGTGTGTGTGTGTGTGTGTCCGTGTGTAAACACGATAACTTGAGTACCGTTACAGCTAGGTTGATGAAATTTCATATACAAGTATTATATCAAAATCGTAGATCCGTATCAACTTTTGAGCGATTTCGGATAACCGGAAGTGGTACTTTTTCTACTTTGAATTTTTCAAAAGCCTATAACTTGAGTACTATTTCAGATAGATAAATGAAATTTCACATGTAAGTAAAAGATCTAATTCTCTACCTTCTGTTAAATTTTGAGTAATTTCCGTTGACCGGAAGTAGTACTTTACGCTACTTCCGATTTCTCAAAAAACTAATGTAAATTTATAAAGTACTAATACTATTGCGCACTATTATACACACCTTTATTAGGCGTTCGCTTGGTGCGCAATTGTTTTTTACTGAGATTCTATTCTATTTTTAAAAGTTTCAGTATTTAAAATGGATTAAAGATCATAACTATATCCCCAGTTACCATCCCCTGTTGTTTTATATAAGAATATTCGAGAAAGTTTAGGGGAGATCACTACCGGTTAATTTTTTTCTGTGAAAGACAAGTGTAATTTACCGCTAAAAGTACTCTGTAATACAAGTGTTTAGAGGAGGGAAAAAAAAAATAACAAGTAAAAGTGAATTTGTCACATTTGACCTATATTACAGCATAAAGTTTCCTCTCACAATAATTTCTTAAGAATATCGTACATTTTAAACTAAGGTATGCAACTCAAAATACAAAACAGTTTTATTTTCGCGTATTGTATCCCTTGGAATTATTTCTTTTTTCTCGTTTAACTTTTAATGAAGTAGCCGAAAGTTGTATCTTCATAAAATGGAGGCTCCAGTATATATTTTCAAGAAGTAATGCTAACATCTTAGCGTTACTTTTTTACGTATATCTAAGTATATACACGTATGTATGAATATATATATATATATATATATATATATATATATATATATATATATATATATATATATATATATATATATATATATGTATATATATATGTATTATTAATGTATAAGTATATATATAAAATTATATATAGATAAATATATGTGTGTGTATATTTATGTGTGTATATGTATGTGTATATACGTATGTGTGTGTATATTTATGTGTGTATATGTATGTGTATATACGTATGTGTGTGTATCCATAGAGCACTAAACCTGTTGAGATGCTGTAGTTTATGTGTGTGTGTGTCTGTCTGTCTGTGTGTGTGACTGTGTATCTGTGTATCCATAGAGCACTAACCCTTTTGAACTGCTGTAGTTTGCATGTGTGTGTGTATGTGTGTATTAGAGTGTGAGTCCCCATTGACCACTCACCCTATTAAGCTGCTGTAGTTTACTCTTAGCCTTGTTGTGTTTGTTCAGCTGCCCACTGATGTGGTACAGCACTGCCCGACTACGTCGTCTGCCGTAGTCGTAGTTCTCGGGCATAGGATCGTCGTCGTTGTCGTTGTCGTCATCTGAGGATTCCTCGCTGTCGCTCTTCGTCGTCGGGGAGTCGGCGTGGTGCTCTGTGGGGGTGGATGTTGGGGGTGGGGGGGAATAAATCAGATATTTATAATTATAGTCATACCTCAACTTGATATGTATCGTTAATTTGTTTAATTTAATTTTTTTTTTTTAATTTAAACATTGTTTTAAAAATTTAAACATTTTAAATTTAATGCATTTTTTAAGTTTTTATTTAAATTTAAACATATCTAAGATTTTAATTTCATAAATTTTAAATAGTTTTTTTTTTTATTTCTTAAATATTTTTAAGTTAAACACACTTTCAAAGATATTATTTTGAAATCAGGTATTAAAGAAGACATTTGAAGTCTATACACGTTTTCCTTGGATATCTTTATGTTGACCAACTTAACTAAACTCTTACAATACTGTTCAATACATGCCCTTGGTGTGACCTTGTTGTGACCTTGGTGTGACCTTGGTGTAACCTTGACCTACCTTTATCCTTCTCTTTAGTGATGTCCTTGTGAGACACCAGGAACAGAACGACGTCACGTTTCTCGTTCTTGATGGGTACGATGTCCAGCAGGCACCAGAACGGCGTCCCTGGAAACGGAAGTGACCAGTGTTTTAACTCGTCCGTATCGTAAATCATCATTCATAAATAAAGGGTTCAGCTTATGGATAATACACACAATGAATCTCAACCATCACACACACACAATCATGCCCAACACACAGACAATCATGCCCAACACACAGACAATCATGCCCAACACACAGACAATCATGCCCAACACACAGACAATCATGCCCAACACACAGACAATCATGCCCAACACACAGACAATCATGCCCAACACACAGACAATCACACCCAACACACACATGGCTAAAACACCTAGAATAAGGCAAAATACATACACATGCACACACACACACACACACACACAATCATGCCCAACACACACACACACAATCACGCCTCACACACACAACATCACGTCCAACACTCATATAAAGCTGTACAGTACGAATAAAAACAGCCTCTATTACCTACGTAACATTTTATACATTAACATAGTCTTGGTGTCAAATGTCCTTTACTGTTAAATCCAGAAAATAATCCATGCACAGCTTTAAAGTGTCATTTCTTAATCACTAAGATATTTTATAAATGTGGTTTTATGACCTTTTACCAACACATCATAAATATGGCGTTATAACCTCACTATTGAAGTAGAACCATAAATCACACCTTAATGCGAAACATAAATAACAAATCTATTTTCTAAACTCACACCTCGAGTAAACGTTTTACTTCTAGACGCAGGCTACACAATGAAAGCACCCACAAACGCTATGAGTGACTTTTCAGCAACACCACACAGAGCGAGAATCGACAGGCAATAATTTGGTTTACTAGAAATGTGTATTATTAATGAGACACAAATATCAACCAATATTTGTATAGGAAAGCTGTCGACGGGTAGATTAACCCTGTACACACGATATTACGGATCTATTAACACAAATACCACATAGGATTAACGCTATACAAACCATGATACTGGTATATTTGTTCTACGCGCAAATATCACCCCGCATTATTAACTCTAAACAAACTATATTCCTGAGCACAAATAGCACATACGATTGATCCTTTACAAAGGATACTATTGATCAAAAATATCACATTGACCACATATAAACCATGATATGGGTCTATTAATTCAACGCACAAATATCACTCCGCGTCATTTACCCTAAACAAACTATAATACTGGACATTGACACACTAACACCACACAGAATTAACCCTATACAAACTGTGATACTGGTATATTTATTCTACACCCACATATCACCACGCATTATTAACACTATACATTATACAAACTATATTCCTGAGCATAAACACAAAAAGCACATACGATTAACTATATACAAAAGATACTACTGATTTATTAACACACAAATATCACATAGCATTAACCCTATACAAACCATGATACTGGCATATTAATTTAACACACTAATAGCAAACAGCATTAACCCTACACAAACCATGATACTGGTATATTTATTTAACGCGCAAATACCACACAGCATTAACCCTATACGAACCATGATACTGGCATATTAATTTAACACACTTATACCACACAGCATTAACCCTATACAAACCATGATACGAGTATATTAATTCAACGCGCAAACATCACCCCGCATCATTAACACAATATAAACTACAAAATTAACCCTAAACTAGCTAAAGCGCTAAAACTAACCCTAACCATTGAGACCCGCCACAAGGACCGTCCAGGTAAAAGCAACTGACCCAGCACCTGGGTGTTGTTTACTACAAGCTTAAGTGGCCAGCCAAACTTGCCAGACTAGTTATGGAGAGACAAGTTTCAGTGCCAACTGAAAATTCCTCTCATTAAAAATTAACACGTCTCCGTAGTATCGACATCAGAGATCTTTAGTTCTGCAAGGATCGATACTGCCATACGGAGGTAAGGTGTCGATACTGCCACAATGTGTTATGGTGTCTCTGTTAATATCTCCATTTCTTATAACTAGTGGTCATTTAACCCGCCACACCATCTAGCCAACAACTTTGGGGTGGGGGGGGGGTCTGTAACTGTCAAGTTATACAGGGGAGGGTGGTTTGAAGACCCCCATGATTGTCAATGTCACATTTCCAACGAAAGGCAAAAAAAAACCCAAACTTTTTTAATGATTATGAAGGTTAAAAATTGTAATTCATGGAGACAAAATAATTGAGAATAATGGTCGTTTCTATCCCTTAAATATCTACACGTGTATTAACATACGAGCGAATTCTAAAATGTTCGTGTCTGGGTTTCTGCTTTAAGTCATCTCGCTGCTGGGAAAGGCGTGGTTGGGCGGAGCAACCCATCTAGTAGAGAAAACTCCAACCCATCTAGTAGAGAAAAGTCCAACCCGTCTAGTAGAGAAAAGTACAACCCATCTAGTAGAGAAAAGTACAACCCATCTAGTAGAGAAAACTCCAAACAACTGCTGCCTAGCAGATTCTTCTTGGGTTGATGACGATGAAAGCAAATAAAGAAAGAAAAGCATGCTGAAATCGGAGTCAGGATTATGGCGCTTAACATGTTGACCATAAATAATTGAGTTAGGGATGCCCTCTTCAATTTATATACGAAAACGAAGGAGAAGAAGAAATCACACTACTTCTGCTAATGAAGACCTTAAGTCGAAACTTCTATATTAATTGAAGTTTAATTATTCAGTCACCCAATAGATACCTGACTCGGTGAAAAAATTGTGTTGAGAATGCCAGAACTAAAGTGTGGCTTGAGGTTTCATGTTCTGTTGGGATTAACACGTGACCTAATCTGCCTCATCACAGCAACAGTCACGTCAAGTATCACGTAATCACGTGACGTGACATGGTGAGTTTCCGGTGGTTTGGATTTACCTGTGATGGTAGACGTGAGCTTATGTGTGTTGTGTTTGACTGACATTGCATGACGTGCCTTAGGACTGGACCTTGGAGTACTCACGTACAGATCTACCTTGACGTGTGTGTGTGTGTGCACGTGCTTGCGTGCGTGTCCATGGTTGAGCTCTAAATTAGGTTGTAATTAGCTTCAGATCATTTGGCCTAATTGGAGCTTTAATTACGATCGATTCCTCCCCCTGTCCAATCTTCCAGCAAATCCCAGCACTTTCGACCTTGAGTTATCGCCCCTGACAGCAAGGCCGACAACTTGGCAGAAAGATGGCCGACATCTCGCCAGTGACGAGAGCTAACGAGATGGACCGGGGCCCGGCTCAATCTTGACCAGCTTTAACCAATATCCGCCTGGACTGGTGGTCGTGGAGGAGTTAAGCCCCCTAGAGTTGAATTAGTCAGCGAGTGACCTCACATCCGGTCCCTGGATCACGTGGGATCTGACGGAGTGAACGCCCTCGACAGCTTAGTGGCTCGGCTAAGTACATGAGACTAGCGGGGGGAAATTGTTTTCATTTGCTCGCATTTTCATTCGTACTTTTGGCTGGGTCACGTGGGATCCACAACACGTGGGGCAGGTGGGCCTTATAGTACATGGGACAGGTGGGCTTTATAGTACATGGGACAGGTGGGCTTTACAATCCAATGGGTGGTGGGCTTCAAAATACAAGGGCAGGTGGGCTTCAAAATACAAGGACAGGTGGGCTTTACAATCCAATGGGTGGTGGGCTTCAAAATACAAGGGCAGGTGGGCTTCAAAATACAAGGGCAGGTGGGCTTTACAATCCAATGGGTGGTGGGCTTCAAAATACAAGGGAAGGTGGGCTTCAAAATACAAGGGCAGGTGGGCTTCAAAATACAAGGACAGGTGGGCTTTACAATCCAATGGGTGGTGGGCTTCAAAATACAAGGGAAGGTGGGCTTCAAAATACAAGGGCAGGTGGGCTTTACAATCCAATGGGTGGTGGGCTTCAAAATACAAGGGCAGGTGGGCTTTACAATCCAATGGGTGGTGGGCTTCAAAATACAAGGGAAGGTGGGCTTCAAAATACAAGGGCAGGTGGGCTTTACAATCCAATGGGTGGTGGGCTTCAAAATACAAGGGAAGGTGGGCTTCAAAATACAAGGGCAGGTGGGCTTTACAATCCAATGGGTGGTGGGCTTCAAAATACAAGGGAAGGTGGGCTTCAAAATACAAGGGCAGGTGGGCTTTATAGTACATGGGGTGGTGGGCTTCACAATACAATGGGTGGTGGGCTTTACAACACATGGGATACGTGGGCTTTGAGTTATAGGCTTTTAGGAAGGGTGAGATCGTAAACGAAAATGAGGCTGTCAAGAAAGAAAAAACTGGGAAAACACCATCAGACAATGGATGGGTTGCAGAACTGGGACAAGTGCTGGGGGTGATGGGGGGGGGGGACTTGTGGCACCCTAAGACATCAGCTACTGGACTTCAGAAAAAATATTATAAAACAGGTCAAACTGACGACAATGACCTAATCCTGTTTCTCAAGACCTAACACTGCGTACATCACGCAGGAACATTTTCTGACACACTGCCGCATCAGCACATAACATAAGACGCTAAACCAAACCCAACACAACCCCATTGATTACATTACCCGAAGGAATGCGTTTATCATGGGCTATTGTGGTTTTAAAACTTAATGTTATTACTCCAGCCAGCCATATTTTATTCTCACGAATAATGTGGTTGTCTCCCTTTCCCTGTTGACAAAATGCGCAGGTTTTATTAGGAAGGGCTGCGCATGACTGCGTATCTCGATTTGATCAGGCGTTCACGAGGGCGTGAGGTGAATTATGCAAAGGTTCGTTTGTAGAGGTTTGTATGGTGGATGGGAGGGTGGGGTGTTGGTGTGGTGGGTTGGTGGAGTGTAGAGTGGTTGGTTAGTGGAGTGTGGGGTGTTGGTGAGGTTGGTTGGTGGAGTGTGGGGTGGATTGGGGAATGGGGGAGGAGTGGATGGTTGGTGGAGTGTGTGGTGGATGGTTAGTGAAGTGTAGAGTGGTTGGTTAGTGGAGTGTGGGGTGGATTAGGGAGTGGGGGAGGAGTGGATGGTTGGTGGAGTGTGTGGTGGAT